TGAGTCATCGCGTATAATGTATGTATCCGATGAATCATACACATAAAATAAAATCAATTAAAATGAAATTTTTGAGTTCGACAGCCTCTCTTTGTTAGTGAGAAGGTGAAATTCTGTCTCCTCGGCATGAACTACTGGATCAAACTCAATCATTCTTTAATTAATTTAACTAATAATTTTATAATATATACCTGCATATATATATATATAAATTTTTGTTTTTATATATAATATACTAGCGGAGGTACACGGCGTTGCTCGGGAAATTTGATAGTACATCCTTGACACAGCAGAAGGTTTAAAAAAAATCTATCTGTACTGAAAAACAGTTTTATTGTAAAGCAGATTGATACACAATGTTTTTAGTTTTCGAGTCAGGAACAAAGACGTACAAATTTTTGCTAGTTCCAACTCTTGAACATGCCACGTAAAGTTGACCGTGAGAAAAGCAAGGGATTTCTAGGTTAATGCCGGCAATCTTAAGAGACTGTTCTTGAGCTTTGTTGATGAATATCACGAAGGCGAGACGAACTGGAAATTGTAGACGTTTGAATTCAAAAGGCATATCAGTAGGAACCATGGATATTCGTGGTATGAATACATTCTCACTCTTTGCGCAGTCTGTCAAGATAGTTGCTTCGATAACATGAGGCATTAAGCTTTTCACGCACAGTCTTGTACCATTGCATAGTCTTGGTGCATCCAGATTCCTTAGTAACATAATTGGAGAACCGATTTTGAACACCAAGTTATGTGGAGGCATTCCAGGAGGCTAGAGAGAGTTAAGAAATTCGGTAGGATAATGAACCGCCTGGTCCACATCCACAACTGTATCGATTAATTTGTACGATGTAGCTTCTCCAGGTAGCTGCTATTGAATCTGTAAGTTGATGGTATTTATATTGTCATTTTTAGGACCAAGAATGGCACGTTCACAAAGCCATTTGTGATCGTTGAAATGGTGCCGAATATTTGAGAACACACTTGTTTTCAGTTCTTCCACTGACTGTACTATATTGCAAAAGTTCTCTGAAATGCTGATGAGTCCACTTGTTGGATCAACTCGTACTTTTCCATCACCAAGAGTTAGCAGCTCTTGAGCAAAACGGCCAGCAGACAAATCACCCTGCAAGTCAACTCGCATGTTGGTTGTGAGCTCTAGCTTGCGCACATATCTCCAGAGATTTGAAGTTTTCAAGCAAGCTTTAAGTTCATCAGTCATTGTTCCCTTTGGAATGACCGGCAGTATTTGACAAAAATCACCTGCTAGGAGTACAACCACTCCGCCCATAACTGTTTGATTCCCCCTAAGGTCTTGAAGAGTTCGATCTAGAGCTTCCAATGCATTTTTGTGGGCCATTGTACACTCATCCCACAGAATAAGTTCACACTCTTGCAGAACCTTCGCTTGACCTGTTCCTTTGCTGATGTTGCAGAGAGGATTTTCAGAATGTGTAAGGTTAAGAGGCAGTTTCAGGGTTGAATGAGCAGTACGATCACCGTGAAGTAATGTAGCAGCAATTCCATAAGAGGCCATTGCAATTGCAATTTTCTTTTGCTGCCGAATTTTCGCTAGAAGTAAGTTAATCACAAATGTCTTTCCTGTTCAATCTGGTGCGTCAAGGAAAAATATTCCATCGGTTTTCTTCTTTACCAAATTTAGGATAGCATTGTAAACACTTCTCTGGTCCTGGGTCAATAGTAGTTCATTTGTTGACACATATTTATCCAGCTCATTCACATCATAACTTGTTTCTCGAAGCATTTCTCTGCTTAATCGATCACTCAAATGTCGTTGAGGAATAGGAAGCCCTAAATCCTTAAGATCTTTACCATCCATTTTTAGGACTTTGTCTTTGATGAAGATCAGGGCTTGATTGAACATATCAGATGTATGCACTAAGTCCATGCCAGGATTTTGTCTTCGAACTTGCATAAGAATGTCTTCAGCCAGGCTTTCCTTGTGAGATTCCCACAGTTGTCTGGGATTGGATAGTCCACACGCCATTAGCAGAATGGCAAAGAGATATCTTAATCTCGCAGGTGACTGAGCGGCAGCAGCTTCGATCATCGTGGAATTCCAGTGTGCATCGTCTTCTAGTAACCCTCTAATTTGGCAAGCTTCGTGGAATGTTGCGCAGACCTGGCCATTAATGGTCCTAAGAGCTTCGAAGGAAGTAGGACCTTTGACCGTATGGAGTAAGAGTCGCTGAAAGAAGCATTCAAAATTGTTTGGATGTACGATATAAACACGACCAAGAGCATCTGTTGCTCTTACACCGTTCCATCCAGGTACTGCAGTTCCTTGGACACAGCGCTTGAAAACTTTTGCTGATGCGTTCCATGTGTAATATTTTGGGACATCACAATATAGTAAAGTCCTGGCGAAGTCATCTTTCTGATAGAGTAAGAAAAACGCAGTTAATGTAGTGTTCGGTGGTTCATTGACTCTGTCAAGTAGGTTGTCTTCCGTAAAATAGATGCGTTGACCATTTTCTAAGTGCACAGCCAAGTGCACCACCGTAGGATGTCGCTCATGGATGGGAAAATCGAGGATTCGCCAAACCGCTTCATTGCTACTAATATATCTACCCATCAAGTAACGTTGAACTTCATCGATTGCTGTCCCATCTTTTTCCAAGCCAAACACTGCCTGATCACTACCCTTGTTCACATATTTGCAAATGTACTTGATTGACTTCACCGAGTTGCAATACTCAACATTAATGTGAGCTTGAAAGATCCGAGAGAGTAATGGACAGTAGGGGACAACCCATCTGTTGTCGATTTCCATATCAATCGTTCGAGAGGAATTTCCAATTCTCATCTTAATTTTAGCTTTCATGCCACCATCTTCTGGACTTCTTATTTTGTAAAGCGGATAGCCATCTTCTCCGGTTTGAGTTTGATCCACGAAATTTCTTGGATACTTTTTTGTGCACTTGCCATCTTTCATGCAGGATGCGCCAGGATTGATACTACCTCAAGGACCATGTATCATGTTTTTCACTATTATTTTAAGCAGACTGGGATCCTGCTGTGGATCAGGTAGCTCTGCACCAATGATGCTGTCTATTTGATCCGGCTTAATTTTCTCCTTCAACCATACTAAGATATGTGTGTGTGGCAAATCCCGCTTTTGCCATTCGATTGAGTACATCCAGCATCGAGATGGTCCGTACACATGACCCTTGGTTATAGCATCCACAAGTTTAATGAGCTCTTGTCTGAATACTCTTGCCGTAAGATCGTGGCGATCATAATGAGTTTGGCCAGGTATCAGCTCCACTTGGATTTCGTCCCACTTTGGATTGCAAGTAAACGTGATAAAGAGATCGGATCTCCCATAGCTTCTGACGTATGTCATAGCATCTTGTGTGTACTCGTGCATGTGACGTAGACTTCCGATGAATGTGGATGGTAGAATCACTAACTGACCAAGGTTGTTGGCATTTCCATCATTTGCTATCGCATCTCTTAGGTGAATGTATTCGTCTACTTTAAGTTTCTTTTGATTGAGACGCACATACAATAGCCACTCACTCTCAATCTTGGCATACATATCGACTATAAACTGATGAAAGAGTTGGCGACACCTTAATATATGATT